GGAAATGGCAAAGTCGCACATGTGCAGTCAGGTCAGTTTTTCACGATGAGATAAAAACGAACAGATCAAGCGTTTACATGCGCACCGATCGGGTTACGGATCGGCGTAAACCACCCTTTTCGTTCTGATCACAAATTATATCGGATCATGCCGAATACACAAAAAATAACCCGAACTGAGTGTTTACATGACACACTTTTATTCCGACCGGCCATTTGATCCGGTTACTTATGTCCATGTAAACATACCTGAGATCACAGATCTCTTTACAAGAGAGGCCTGGACCTGAAGGCAGACTAACATCATGTTTTTGATCTGTGGGAGGAAACTGGAGAAAACCCATGCAAGCGCGAGAAGAAAATGCAAACTCCACACAGAGAGACCCCAGGTCCAACCGGGGATTGAACACAGGACCTTTTTGCTGTGAGGCAACAGTAGTGCTGACCTTTTTTTTTTGTTAGTTTGTTTTTGTTTTTTTGAACATCCAGAGGACCTGACTGAACTTTTTTTGATTTTTCTACCTGGATTATTGAGCATGCATCAGGATATCTAATAACTAAGATTATTCGTTTATCTCTCTCTTCTGGTTTTGTTCCACCATCACCCAAAACTGCTGCAATAACTCCAATTCTTAAAAAAAAAAAAAACAGGTGCTGATCCTAATGACTTAAATAACTTTAGACCAATTTCTAACCTATCCTTTATTTCCAAAATACTCAAAAAAACAAAAACAGTTGCAGCCCAGTCCAACATTTTTCAGTCAGGTCATCTGGACAGTTTCTTTTTTTGTGCTGAAACATTTCACCTTCGATCCAGAAGGCTTCATCAGTCAAGGAAACACACAACAAAACTGATTCTTATCCCAACAGCTTACTCTAAAGTGGAACAAACCAGTTCTGCTTGTGACAAGATGGTCTCTTTGGTACGCCCCCTCCTCCATTGCCAGCCCTCTTCCTTGTTGACAGTCTTGTCAAACTGGTTGAAAACAACAAAGTCCATGCTCAATAATCCAGGTATACAATCCAACATCCAACAGTTGCAGCCCAGGTTCACAGTTAACGTTCTGTTAATAATCAGTTTGAAGAACTTGTCAGGTTTCCGCCCCCTCCACAGCACCGAGACAGCTTTGATTAAAATTACCAGTGATATCCTGGTTGCTGCCCACTCTGGACTTTTATCAATTCTCATTCTCCTGGACCTAAGTGCAGCATTTGATACTATTCTGTATGATATTCTTGTTGATAGATTACGTTCCATTGTTTTTTCTGGCATTGTTCTGAATAGGTTTAAATTTTATGTCTCTGACCGTCAGCACTTTATCCAATTTAAGAACTTCAAGTCACAGTCCAACAATTTTTCAGTCAGGTCATCTGGACACTTTCTTTTTTTACTGAAACGATTCACCTTCCATCCAGAAGGCTTCATCAGTCAAGGAAACGCACAACACAAAACTGATTCTTCTCCCAAACAGCTTACTCCAAAGTGGAACAAACCAGTTATGTTTGTGCTAAGATGATGTCTTTGGCACGCCCCCTTCTCCGGTGCCAGCCCTCTTCCTCATCAACAGTCATGTCAAACTGGTTCAAAACCAACAAAGGATTATAGAGCATCAGTTTGACATGACTGTCAAAAAAATGTAGAAACGTTTCATCTTTCAGATGAAAGACAAAACATTTATATATTATTGTTTTTTGAACATCCGGAGAACCTGACTAAACTTTTTATGATTTTTCTACCTGGATTATTGAGCAGCATAAGCTTAAAAGGGAGATACAAATCGACGAAGATACCCAAATATTTATAGGAATCGACAAACTCAATAGAGACACCATTTGAGGATAAAATCGGAGGAAGAACTGCTGGGACTGACTTCCTGTTTGAAGAAAACATCCCTTTGGTTTTGTCAGCATTTAGCACCAGTTTTAGACAGAACAAATCTGACTGGATGATGTTGAATGCAGATTGCAAAAGTTGGAAAGACTTATCAACTGTTTTAGCTCGACAATAAACAACTGTGTCATCAGCATAGAAATGTATGGATGCATCAGGGATGCTCTGACCTACATTATGTATGTAGGTTGTAAAGAGGGTGGGTCCTAAGACTGAGCCTTGTGGTACACCATTGTTGACTGTTAAATAACTGGAGGAAGTACCATTATGTTGAACACATTGCCTCCGGTCTGAGAGATAGTTAGAGAACCAACCAATGGTGTGTTCTGAAAAACCAGTTTCTGAGAGCTTATGACACACGATGTTCTGATCCACAGTGTCAGAATCTTTAGACAGGTCTAAGAAAAGTGCAGCACAATAATCCTTAGCATCCAGTGTTTCAACAACGTCATTAAGAACCTTCAGTGAAGCAGTGGTTGTGCTGTGTTGTTTCCTGAAACCAGATTGATGTGGAGGTAAGATGTTAAATGAGTCCAGGTCATTTTTGATTTGAGAGTTTATCAGTTTTTCTAGAACCTTGGCTAAAATGCAGAGTTTAGAGATTGGTCCATAGTTGTTCAGTGAGATGGGGTCACCTCCCTTCAGCAAAGGAAGAACAAAGGCTGTTTTCAAGTATCTGGAATGGAGTTTTGTCTTATGGAGTGTTTCGCTTACCCGAGTGAGGTAGACACAGGACACGTGCCACGCCCTCACTGCAGCCTTTCTCCTTCAAGGGATCTGAAACTAATCCTGAGGCTCAGGTATTACCCGCAGCTGCTTTTTAGGACAGTTTAGTCTAAGGCTGTGTTGAGATGATTCACCCAGATTGTTAACAACCTCCCATCCGTGCACCACACCAGAATCTCACCTTGTGCCTCGCCCGACCTAGCAGCAGGAGTAGGGACGTTCGGCAGACGAGGAAGCGCACGTTAACGGTTGCTCATCTCATAATTTAGCGTTGCAATTGTTATCTGATCTGGCTTTGTTTAGAATCTAGGTATAAGATTCTTGGATGTTGTTTTATAATCAAAGCTACGAAACCTTTAAAAACCTCCCGCACTTTTGTTGTTTCATTGAACCAAGTTTTCCACTTCCATGAACAAAGGGGTGTTGAAATAAGAACCCAGAATTTTACGTTTTGCTTTGCTTTAATCAATGATTTTGCAGAGGAAACAGTGGTATGCACAATCCAATCACAGTGATTACATTTGATTACAAAGAGGATACACAGTGATTAATACTGGGAGTTTAGTTATATTCCAGATGTTGATCTTTCCTGGGCAAAGTAGTTCTCTGTTCCTGGGGGGAGCTGGAGGATAGCTGTAGGTTTGCCCCGTTCGGCCCCAGATATTTTCCTTCCGGCCGGCTGCGCTCTGTGAGTTCTTAGGTCGTCCTGACTCACTCAAGCGCTCCAAAACCTCCACAGTCTCCTCACACTCACTACCTGCCCCAATATGTTATCTCTCACCACATTAACCAACCTTTGACAACTCCAAGCAATCATATTTAAAATATAATTGATCTTTCTGCTTGTAATTTTGTAAGCTACCGCTTTGAAATGAGATAAAAATTGATAAAGGACAATATCTGTGAGACGTCTTCTTACCATCGCCTTTTGGT